ATAAAGGAAAAAGAGGAGAGAAGGGCCCCTTCCCAGAGGATGGTGTTGTCCAAACGTGTCGTTTTGGAAAGGGAGGGCCTACACCCCCCAGACTCCCCCAGCCAGTCCACTCATCTTAAAGTGGCCAAGTTTGGACAACACTGCCTTAAGTGTTGCCATCTAGTGGGACCTAGAAAGTGTGCCTTCTCAGTGCCTTCCCTGTCCTGTGGAAGACCCTTTCCCCTCAGATCCAGCAGGCCCCCCATCCTTTTAGCCTTCTGAAAGGCCATAAAGAGTTGGCCGTTCCCCCAAGTGTTGGGATAGGGCAAGATTGGGGCCTGAAGATGGCGATGTTGGCTGCATCCAAGAAGGATGGCTGACGCGCCAAGTGTTGATTGTTTTCTGGTTTTGATTGTTGTGAGCTGCCCAGAGTTGTGTTCTTAAGATGGGCGGCCGCACAAACCTTTTAAATAAATAAATAAATAAATAAGCCCCAAGCACCTACCATGTAAAAAACACCACCAAAAGTCAAGGTAGGAAACAAACAGCCCAGAGCACATCCTTTCTAGCAGCCCACACCCAGAGAAGCTGCAAACACCATGGGAGAGTGCAGTTGTCTATCTGTCTGTCTGTCTATTCATCCAATTTATATGGCAGCCTATCCCAACGAGTGACTCTGGGCGGCGAACAGAATTAAAATAAAATAAAAAAAACAATAGCAAACATGATAAAAGTTAAAATACAAGCAGCCGAGAAACAACCACCCAAATCACTAACACAACCAAGATATGTGTCACTTGCTTAGGCCAGTCTTGATTGGGGTGTGGTTTCTTCCCTGATAGTCCCTTGATTTGGGTGCTATTTTCTTCTTATCTGGGCGTTGGCTGCTAAGATTTCATTACATACGCACACACATGCACAGACGCACACACCCACAAATCATCATTAATATTAGGTAACAAAAGAAGTAGAATTTAATGAGGGACAATGTGCCTCTGAGTGGGGCAGCAGAAAGCCACCAGAACTTATATGTTTATACCCATGCATAAATATGCACTATATACTACATAGTGTACATATATACTACTATATGTAGCAGTGGATTGCAAGCTGAGTAAGAGCCAGCAGTGTGATGTGGCTGCAAAAAGGGAAAATGCAGTTTTAATCTCCATCAGCAGAAGTTTCGATGTTGCAAGAATGAATTAATTCACAATTAATTATTCTGCGTAGGTCACAGCCCATCCCAAGTGCTGGGTCCAGTTATGATCATCATCCCTCAAGATGGATTCAGAGAAACTGGTCCAGAGAAGGGCAGAAAGGAACATCAGGGGACTGGAAACTAAAACCTATGAAAAGAGGGATGGAGCTGGGAATGGATGACCTTGAGAGGAGAAGCTGTCTTCTAACACCCGAAAGGATGTCATAGAAGACCTCTTCTCTCTCTCATCCCAGATGAGAATCAGATCAAGGATTCATGGCTTTAAGTTGCCGTAAGGAAGATTCTGTCAGGTTCAGCCCAAAGAACTCCCCGAGACAGTGCAGATACAGTTCTGTTGCATTTATTAGCTCCCACCTCAAGACAAAAATCTCTCCAGACTGAACCCAAGTTCCCAAGCCAGCCAGCCACAACACCGTGAATTCCTTAGGGTGATGCCAGTCTCATCTTCT